CAGTCAAGTTACAACCCAAACTCAAACCGAGGAATAAGGTTTTTAACTTCATCACAGGGCCGGCTGGAGAACTTTTGAACGCCATTGGGATAACGAAACTGCTGAGGAGCCGATTTAACGAGCAACCCAACTCAGTAATACATCTACTATCAACATCTGGTGATGTAACGAAGTCCAACAACTGCCATACAAGGCCGATGAACGTAAAGATTTCGTCAAATCAAGTGTTTGTGAAGCTTTCAACACTGAGAATAGGGAAATCACTTGGTCGTGACGATATAAGACCGGTAGTCATCCACAGCTGTGCCGAAGTGCTAGGCATGCCCATATGCGACCTGTTCACACACTTGTCGGAAGCAATTCAAGTCCCTAAAAAATATAAACGCACCGACATTTCACCAGTCTTCGAGGGAAAGGACTGGAAAAATCCAAGCAACTGCAGGCCAGTAGCATTACTCCCCGTACTTTCCAGGGTACTGAAAGGCCTGGTTGCAGATGTTGTTTGGGACTACCTTTACAGAAACAATATCGTCCATCCCACCCAGAATGGCTTCAGAATCTGGCGGTCATGTGCCACAAACTTGATGACTGCTTGGGATGACTGGACGGCCAGATGGGACAACAAACAACCAGTTCACGTTATCTTCTTGGACTTGGCCAAGGCTTTTGATAGTGTCTCACACCGCATTATGCTTGCCAAACTAGCAAGAGTGCGTATCGCTGAACCACTCTTAGAACTGCTTGGAGTATACCTAGAGAACGGAGAATTCTGCACTGAAGTAAACAGAATTAGATCAACCTGGAGGAATGCAAGAACAGGAGTTTCTCGAGGGGCAATCCTTGGACTGCTCCTATTTTTACTATTCATAAACGACCTCCCCCCTAAAATCCCCTCATCTATCCTCCTATTTACCGACGACATCAAAATGTGGAGGACGATGGGCAACGAAGAGGATCCTAGGATACTCCAAAACGACCTATTGAAACTGGAGTCCTGATCAGCCTTGAAGGGTTTAAGCTTTAATCCGGAGAACTGCAGGGTGATGTATCTTCTCACACCAGAGACGATGAAAATCAACTTCACTCTTAGCAAGCGTGTAATCACCAAGGTATCCACAGAGAACGACCTGGGACTGAACTTTTCTGACACTGCGGTTACTACTGGCTGTTATAAGGGAATGACAGCAAAGGCGAACGCCATTATGCACTTTCTAAGAAGATAACTTGGATTGTTAACCCTAGAGTTATTCCTCATGGTATTCAGAACCCACGTTAGACCACACCTAGAGGTGTTTAACACGATAGCCCCCCACTACTAAGGAGAGAAGCAAACCCTGAAGAAGGTAGAAAGAATAGCAACAAAGTTGGTTTTCGGACTGACAAGCAAAACATATGCCGAACACCTCAGACAACTCAACTTGTTCACGCTAAGCTATCGGAGAAAACGAGGTGATCTGATAACAGCCTACAAGATCATTCACCAAGTGGACCACCCAAATAGGACAACAATCCCCGTTCAAAACCGACAGCCCGTAAGAACCCCACTCGCATACCCCACCATAGGGCAAAGACTAGAATGAGATCTAGTTCCTTCTCCCGTAGAGTATGTGCCCTATCGAGCGCGCTGCCGAAAGAATTGGCCACAGCTACATCAGTCGATTCCTTCAAACGACTACTGGATGAGTATGTGAGCGCAAGTGGTTTACCCCGAGCATTTGTTAGTAGCAACTTGTGATGCGCCCCTCCATCCCTGTATTCCCTTGTATCCCCCAACACTAGTATCTGCAGTAAAACGCACCTCTCCTCCATATTATTACCAGTCATATTTATCTTTTCAAAAGTACTTTTCACTTCTCTTTTTCTCATTCCCCACTCACCCCGTTTCTATCTCCTTTTAAGTGACGCTTAACACTTACTTGCGGGTGCCTAAAACAACAGGAATTGCAAACGGTTGATTGATCTTACCAGCAGCTCCGTCGTCCCCCCCCTAAACAAACCAAGCAACAATTTGCAAATGCAACACCTTCAAATAGACAAACACTACCTCCAAAGCTATAGGCAGGAAAACCCAAAGACTTCTGAGACCATCGAAGAAGTACAACCGGACAAAAAGAACCGAGCCTGAAGACCTATAAGTGAGAGCTAAAAATCTACACATTTCCTCTGCTTGCACTAATCGTGTTGGATGTTGGACTGTTGGATTTTTCCACAATGAAAAACTCCCACTTGCAATACTCAATCTAAAAACATCGAACGTTTGCAGCACTTCTGTCCGTCCACGCACCTCACCCCTGCGCATTCGTCAGCTCACTCCTCAACAGTTGAAAATTGGCATTATTATTCCTTTGAACCAACCGGTCTACCTCCTGTCAGTGGTTCTTGGGCGTTTCAACTGCCAAACTGCCTTAGCTCTCGGTTCTCCTCGGAGGTCATTCCCCAGGAAATATCTTTCCTGGTTATACATACGCATCTGGAGCTTACGGTTAAACTCGTTGGTCAAGAGCAGAGGATCAAGTGACAAGTGTCTGAAGGTGAGCCAACATAAATTATCTTCCCTTTTCTATTCTGTCCTTTTGCTGCATTCAGTCTTCAACCCTCTTATTGTTGTTAACTACTTGTTTTCCCAAGAAGTTTATATCATAGCGACATGTCTGCCCAAAACGCTAGGTCTGAAGCTTTGACACGGATAACGCGGTCGTGCACAAAAACGGCCAGTAACACCCTAAACAACACACTAGTCTGTACTAGAAGACAAACAGAGGTAGGGCAGAACACCGAACTTCTGAAGAAGTGGCCAACCCATGTTTCTAGAATTCCAGTCGCCATCAGACAGGTGACACAGAGTAGCACTAGCCCGTCACAAACTAGTCCTATCTTGAGCAAGGATCATACCATGCCTGAAATAGAAGACGACGTAAAAGGCTTCAGAACAAGGCAGCCACAAGCAGTTCGCCACAATCCGTAGCACCTTATTCATGGAAGGAAGGCTGTATTACGACACCCGATGGCTGCAGTGTTTGCACCAAAGTTGTTTCGGTAGTCGATGAGGCATTTGCATGCAACCTATGTCAACGATGGGTGCATTGCCACTGCGATACCAAAGTCCCCCGACAATACTATAAGCTGATGAAGAGACAACCATGCAAGTGGTTCTGGTACATCTGTCCAGAGTGCAGGAAAATGCCCGCACTCCGCACAGAAAGCCTGAAGGAGATGCTCTCCGCCACGCAAAAGCTACCAGCATCCTCGAATAAAGTAGGGTTAACACCAAAGGATAACACAGAGAGACCTGGAAACAGACCTAGAGCTCCAGCTGTGGGCACGCCACCTCGCGTGGGGACCATATTAGGTCAAGTCTCCATACCCCCTACCCGGCCCCAGGGGACGTCAAGCGCATGGCCAAAGACATCGACCGCCGAAGCCTCTACGAAACCCATTCCGAACACCCCACACACCGTGACTGAGAAACAACCAGTGGAATTACTCAAACCCATTGGGAAGTCGGGCGTGCCACCCACAACGAACCCAGGTCACAGGAGGACCAACTCGATCATTTTGTTCAACGTCGATGTATCGACAGACTCATTGTTGGTCGAGAGGGAACAATTTGACAGCCGAATGTGGACCGACTACTGTCAGATGCTGGGACTCCCTCCCCTCCCTGCAACTTTATGTCGCCTTTCTCGAGGAAGCCATGCACCCCGAGATAAGCCACCCCCTTTACGTGTGTCCCTAAATACCGCCAAAGAGGCTGAAGACACACTCCTTCTCTCTCGACAACCGGACGTTGTTAATGCCTGTAAAATTCGGGCCAGGCCTGACAAGCCATGGTCAATAAGAGAGGAGGAGAGAAAGTCAGCGGTTGGAAATCCCAACAGAAACAACACTATAGTTGTACATGGGATTCCAGAATTGCCAAGTGACAGCTCGGTCAAAGATCGGTACTTTCACGACGTCCAACAATGGCAATGGCTCTCAACCAAAGTTGGTCTCAACAGTATACCGGCCAACAGCGTCAGTAGACTGCCAAGGCCAGCGCACCTGAAGACCATACCCAATCCCAGACTACTTGCCGTCCAGTTCGACTCATATGCCTCCCTCACAGACGTTCTGCACGCATGGTATAATGCGAAGATCGCATGGGTGGCTCAATACGTATATGTGAAAGTAAGCCTAGACCCACAAGGCAAGAGGAGAGACGGCAACCACCAAGACCTCTGGAGTCAGTGGTCGTCACACAGGCGCTGACCAGTGAGTTAGATACATCAAGTAAAGAAGCCACCACTGCTACAGCCCCCACCCAAGTTAAGAACAAAACACAAAAAAACGGAACAATGCCAGTCCTATGAGGACTGGCGAGGCTAAATCAACCACGTAAGCGCTCATCCTGCGAAAATACACATCCAGACCTCCCCTCTCATCAGGCACACTCTAATATGTATGTACAGCAACGTTAGGGGGCTAAGAGGGAAGGTAGCAGAAATGAGGACGCTGCGTGAACATCAGCACTCCGACATCATATTCATCACCGAATCCTGGCTCTCATCGGACATCTCCGACGAAGAGATGCGTGTTGCTGGCATGGAACTCTTCCGCAGGGACAGGGAACATAGAGCAGGAGGGGGAGTGGCTATCTACGTAAACTCCTGTTTAAAGGCAAGGATGGTTAGCGATACGGCCTTAACCCAGCTCCCAGAGTCTCTATGGTGCTACTTCACTCTCTTCTTTATTCTCTCTTCATTCCTTTACCACTACCTTACTATTCTCTTCAGGTACCTACACAGACAGGAGTCATGGCAGTTCTCTAAACTTCCCAGCAACCCGTAGCTCCCTAATCACTCTACAAATTACAACCTACTAACCCACAAAACATCCACCTCACCGAAGCTAAAAGCAAGAAAGCAGAGGGATTTCCTCGTCCACTGCAGGAGTAAACCGAACAACTGGAACCAAGCCCTAAGAACTAGACGCGAGAGATCAAAACTATCAGTTTTCTACGCTCGCACTATGAATATTGGATATTGGACTACATACACACCTTCATTTGGGATTTACGTTACGCAAAATTTCTCGTAGGTTGTTGTGACAAGTCGTGACTTTCAATTTAGTCTCCATCGGTAAGAATAATAAGTCAGTTTTCCCGTTTCAAGTTTTTTAGTAGATATCTCTGTGCTTTCGCCTTAAGGCAAAACTAGATCCTTAATTAAGGGTGATCACCCCTAACTCGAGTTTTGCAATGAAGTTTAGATAAATGATTACCTATCTCCTTCAAAAATACTTACTTTACGATTTCATCTGCTATTCAAGCGCACACATGCCTTCCTATTATCTGTTATCTGTGACCAGTAAGTGGCAGATAAACACGTGCACCCCTATGGCGCGTGACCGAAGTTCAGTCAGGTATACCAAAAGGAGCAGCAGTTCTCCACCAATGTGATCTATCTGTGTCCATTGTCTACACGATGTCGAAGGGCGTCATGTAAGACTGTCTCCCCCGATCCTTGAAGTTATTGCAGGTCAGAAACAAGTGATTGTCAAAACAAAATCTCAGCAGCCGATCATCGGGCTGGTTCGTTGCATGGGCTTCCATAAATACCTCCATTATACCTCCCTGACTGACTCAGTCTTCCTAATTTAGCGTTGAGATTGCCTGCTATTATGACCATCTATACGTTTTGCTTTGCATAACAAGATTGACAGCTTTTGGTAGAATTCATACCTTACACTATGCGAACTGCAGTTGGTGGACGTGTAGATGGAGATTACGAATAGGCATTGCATAGTCCTTCGATCCTTCCTAGCTTTCGCAGGTCCATTTAGTTGAACAGCACAAAGACGGCTACTGACTGGTATTTAGCGAAGAAATTAATCCTATACTTACACCAGTGATCCCACGAGATCTAGCCGTTGGTGTCCAAATGTTGAGGATTAACCGCAATGGCTAAGTGAATTCAAGTAAGTAACTACACTCAAGGCCTGCATACGTGTCTCAGAGGCACAACATACATCCATGGATCGAGATTCCTGAGTTCTGGCGAGCGATACTTGCTGTTCGATTTGGCATATAATTCGGATGTTGTAAGAGCCAACATGAAATCGATGGCGAGGTCTTAGGAGACTTTGAAGGAGGTTTCGATAGTTTTCATCCTTGGTAATGGTCACAGAGTGCAAGGTTGAGGAAGTTTCAAAAGGCTTGATACTGGTATCAGGAGGTGGAAGCAAGAGAAGAGACAGTTGAAGGGGGTGGGTTATGCTCTATTTGATCTTGTATACTACTGGGAGCCTGACGGGGTTTGGTACTTCCCAACTGCCCACACAGTAGAAATTGTTTCTGCAGGGTACCTAAAAGAGAAAGAGCCCATGGGACATCTTTTTGAGGCCTATCACATAGTCTTTTTAGGGTTGTTGGTTTGCAGTTTGGTTGTTGTGATACCGGAGAGAAAAACCTCATACTGCTGGGATTGGGAGACCACAGGTTAGGAAGTCTTGTACTATTTTGGTGGCCAACCTTATCTAACCTCGGCCTTCTCATCAAGGGAGGGGTAGGGTCAGTGTAGCACAGGGGGTCATCCGCGGCAAACACCTTACTACTGTCACAATCCAACCAGCATTACGGCTGACCCCCATCATAGTGTAATCACTTACATCATAGTGGTAACTGCTCTTCGTCTTACCAATATCCAACAGACCTTTTCAACATGGTAGGACCTCGAAAGAACAAGCGTTTTAGTCAGTTTAACTCGGTCTATTTTGTTGCACAAGCCTGATCACGACGTCAAGGTGTCAGCTATCAGTAAATTGGACCGTTTTCTGTACAATTTAGTCATCTTATTTCTCTCAATAGTAACTTAAAGTTCTTGAATTATATTGGAGATGAAATTGAGTTGGTTTAACGTGCTATCACGAAATGGTTATGTTTGTTTAGATAGCAGCTGGAACTGTCATTCTGAATCCCTAACACCTGTACTTTGAGATGCATTATATGAAATTCAAGTTTTCAGAAGTTAGTATCTATCATTCCTAGACTCACTAGGTTTTCAAATTAACAGTTGATGTGAATTTAATGGACAACAACTATTAAAATGCAGTCAGTTTGTAATTTTTAAAGTGTAGTATGTATTCTATCACCCGAGTGACGGGGCTTTTTAGGAATCTGCACTTCTTATGAGTCCTTTCTATGTTCGCGTAAGTATGAAAGGTGATAAGGTTGCTATAAATGATACGTGTTAAAGAAAAGTCATACTGGTATACCTAAGGTGTATTACTTGTCTTGCCGCTGCAGCAATCTGACTATTAGGTTATGACCGAACAGTTTTCAAACCCACTCAGTCGTGCCAGTTAGTCATCAACTTTTAACAAGTGTTTGCTTAAACAACACGTATTTGGACGCTCTAGGCAAGTTACATCATTTATAAGGTCACTAATTATGGTAATTAGTTTTATGTGTACTGTCTTGGTAACTTCTGTATCAAACCCTTCTCTTTAACTGTTAAATTGGCTGGCTAATGTCAGGAAACGGTAATCGTTTCATGCAGCATTGTAATATAATTAAAGATAATCCCACTAACAAGGCTTTCTCAATAGTAAATCAGATGAGTTGGAAAATGTTCGTAATAATTGCAAAATTGTAATTTAAAAGCCTAAAAAACAATAAACTGGAAGCTATATACAATTGCTTGGGATGTTATTTTATCTAACTTTTCAGGTTGAATTAGGTAGAGCGTGTTCAACTCCTTATATCCAGTTGTCCATAGTGGAATCATGTGTCATTATTTCAATATCTTGTTTACTACTTGCTAATTATTTTCTTCTAAAATTGTTTGTCTTACCGTAGACGTAAAGAATGAGTTATACACCAGTCAATATATTCGGCAGAGTTTGGGATTCGCTTTCAGCTGTCCATCTACAAGTCTTGGTGGTTTTTGTATGTCTAGTTTATCTTCTGCCTGTGGTTAAGATTTTCCTCGCCTATACTATTGGAAAAATTTTTTTCTCAAAAAGGAAGTATCTGAAACATGCAGGTGAATGGGCTATTGTGACTGGTGCCACAGATGGAATAGGTAAAGCCTACGCAGAAGAATTAGCTAAAGATGGTTTGAACATTATGCTAATAAGTAGGAGTTTGGAGAAGCTGAAAAATGTCGCCACAGAAATTGAATCATCCTATCATGTAAAGACACGTGTTGTTGTTGCGGATTATACACAAGTAAGCTGTATTTCACTTATTTAATGTTGACTTTACAGTCAATTGGATTATTGCATGAAACAGTGATCATCTGTTCTCTTGTATATTTGGTTAATAAAACATTATGTTAGATGTCTCTGTCGATAATGATATGAAGTATTCTTATTTTAATGGTAATTTTTAAGCTATTCCCAAATAGGACGACATGCGCGTCCTGGATTTCACTGCTAGCCACTATCCATCATTAATGTATTCCACTCATGATCGCACAACTTTGGGCGATACACTAAACTATTATTTTCCTTTTTAGTTTCGTTATTAGTTGAAGTGTTCTTTCATCTTCCTCTCTGTACTCAGTTTTTAAGTCTGCTCTGCTTTATGTGTTAAATGATCCATTGGTTATTTTGCTTTGCATCGGTTAATTAGGAATTTCTTTTTGTCTTTTTTTGAGATTAGATTTGTTCTTTAGTTAAAACCTGTTGATGGTTGGGTGACTGTATGTACATAAATTGGATCTCATTGGGGAAATAAATGTTTTCATAAACTTCAGTGTATTTTCCGGTAAATTGTAATACAAGGTCATATTTCACATACTTTGCATTGTAATCCATTCTTGATTTGATTTCTACTATCATTTAATGTTCTGGATATCACCTTTCAGGCTTGGCTTAGTAAGAGTACCTACCTTAAAACTCCGTGTATGACTGCCAGCCAGTAGGTGCTGCTTAATCAGCTTTGTTGGGTGTGTTGATGTTAATGTTATACAACAAAGTAATTATGAATTATAAACAGCGTAAGGAAGTTGATAGACCAGAGGGTAGATGATTAGTCGCAGGTAAAAAAATGACTGAATTGTAGTGTTGAGTCATTCTGTATTAAAGAGACATTGATCAAAGCATTCCACTCGAGTTCATGCATCCGTCTAAGGGAGTTGTCATCAGAATTGAAGACAACTACTGGTGTCCACCAGCGATACCCACTGTCCCTATTCCTTGTCGATCTCGTTAAAAACGTACTAGTGGACATAACCTTAGGTATCTACTCCATTTAGGGCATCTGACTGACTTGGAGTATGCACAGGATATTGTCCTGCTAGATGAAAATGCTGACGAGATTCGGCGTCTTGTGAACGCGTTGAACAGAAACAAGTGTGTAAGATCATGCTTCTAGACTAGTCTGAAGCCACTTCCAGTTTTATGTTAGGGAGTGAAGTGGTTGAATTTGCCGACCAGTTCACTTGGTGAGTTGTATCAGCTCATATGGGCTGGTTCCCGACGAAATCTCAGCTGGGACGTGGAAGGCTTGTTTGGCATTAGCCAACTTACGTCATCTCTGGCACCAACTAGCGAAAAATCTGACTACTTGTTAAAGGACAAGAGTAATGCTCTGCAGTCCGTTCTGTCCTGTTATATGGCGGCGACATGGTCTTCAAAGATAGATGTGAAGCAGTAGCAGATTTTTGGCCGTTGGTATCTTTGTAACATTGCTCACATTTGGTGGAATCACCGTGTGGACAATGTTGAGGTCAGGTGAAGGGTACTAGGCAAGATAGGCAAGTCGATTGATGAGGTTGTGAACCTTCATTGACTGATGTGGCTTGGACATGGGTTACGCATACCGAGCTACCTCTTACCTCGACGTGCCTTGCTAGGGGGAATTGAATTGGGCTGGAAGGGGGCTTATAGTAGCCAGACCAAGAAGTGGCACCAGTCGATGAAGTCCCTATCTGTTGGTCTGAGCCATGTGGGGAGATATTAACTGTCTGGTTGGGGTTCCCAAGAAAAAATGAGTCAGTGGTTGAGGACTGACTCTTGGTGATGTAGCTGGAAAATCGATCACAGTGGCACAGATATATGCACTCCTTTACATCTAAAGCTTGAATATTCACATTTATCTTTATCTTCACATTGTTTATTTCCTCATGCTACTTTATCTTCTTTTATATCACTCCTTTCCTATCTACCTGTTCTTTGTGTACTACTGTGAAGTGTGACTATTTGAGCCGATACACTTGTGTTCGAGGTTCTACGTTGATTTTGACTGTCTGTCATCATATTTGACAAAGACACAAGTGCAGAAAAATAAAGTCCTTTAAATCGATTGCTATCCAGTTTAAATTAGTGTAAACAAGAATCCCTCATGGATATTTTGACAAGTATAAAGGGTAACAGAAAAGTTAAAAAATGGATTTAAGGACATCACACTAGATAGGCGGTTATTCTACTGATTTCGGTTAGTCATTGTACTCCAAAATGAGACCTGAAGTTACTGCTTATGAGTTAAAGTTATCACACACGTCACATAAATACATCGATATACAAGTCATCAAAAGGAGAGAAGTGAAAATATAATCAAAGGTTCCAGAAAGCTATGAGAAGAGTGCAGCAGAGTAAAGCGAGCAAAAGAGCGTGAGATAACCTTTAAGATGAAGTGGTGTGAATACACTTACATCTCTATTGTAACTTAGCAGTTATATCAATTACAGTCGCTAGTTGTCGATTTCGGTAGTTATATCCAATTCTGTTAGAAGAAAAAAGTGGTCAAATCTTCAGTCTACGGTGAAAAAGTTGTCCTATCATAATTTATTAAATGTAGAAATGAGAAAGTACCGGAGTTGCTTGAGTTGGGACTGATATTCTGACCACTTCAATGGTAAAAATAAGATCAGTAAGTCACTAGAAGTTATTGTATATGTATGTATGAAAAATATTATTTTAGTTTGTAGCATTACGATGTAAACAGTGGTCGAGAACAAAGTTCAAATGCGCTCAGCTACCTTGTGCACATTCGTGCGTTAGGTAATAAGCCATATCTATTGTGTGACGACTAACAATGCGACCTGACTGCTCAAACCTCGTTAGGTAGAGCAGGGCTCGAACCCATTGTTTGAAAGTCATCTGCTTAAACCAATAAGCTAGAACTTCACAGTGGTCAGCCACTTGTGACGTTTTCGAAACTTGTATCCTATCTTCAAGCGTTAGATATGCAGCTCATTATCTATCAAATCCGATGTGTGTGTATAAGTTCTAGAACTCTTGTGGAATTCAGTTGCCTCGAAGGCTAAGTGAGGACACATGATAAATATCTTCCAACCTGATTATAAAAGAACGTAAATTAAGCCATCCACGAGTAGTGGTGCTTATCTTTTGCTTACACAATTCACTTTCAGGCAGTAGGTCTTTGATTCAAAGTTTGCTCTGTCTATCCAGACCTAGCCAATTATATAAGTTATGACTTTACAAGTGTTCGTAGCCTATTACATAAATCTGTACCAGATCATATTCTGAATAACATTCTATGTTATTGATCAAGTCACCTAGTGAAAACTACCATATGATTTCATCTTCAGACGACTGAAACAGTGTATGTAGACGCTGTGATACTTAAGTTACGTAGTATATTGATGAAGAGTTTGTGCCTTATGGAATGAATTGGCTTTTCATATTGTGAGTACATTTGTAATGAATGTTTATACACAGTGGTCAGTTTTTTTATTACTACTAAAACTGTTGAAAATTGATCTTTGTTTCAAACACACATTTAAGATATTTTCAGTTATACTGTTGATCTTCTTTAGTTATCTAGTATTTACAATGTACTAGAATTGTATAATCTCTTGGGTAACCTTTACGTCCAGAACGATTAAATATCTCATTTGCCTAAATGTACATGTATCTGTTGCTTTAGTTAAATACTGTTTCTTGTATTATACAGGATATTTCAATCTTATTTTAATTCTACACAATTTTAGTTAACTATTTATTCAGATTTTAGTCCCTTTCCTTACTATATGATAGTAACCAACTAGAGTAATCAAATGTACTTGTATTAAGTGCAGTTTCTCCATATGTACGCTAAAATGTTTCAAAACTTCATATATCAAGGTTCAGTTTACTGAGCTGTTAATAAAGTTTGATGCAGTCAACTGATTTTTGTTCAAATTCACATTGTAGTCTACAAGTTGAACTTTGTGTATACTGTTCAACTCCCTAAGCGTTGGTATATGAACTATGATTTGAATCTGTAACTCATTAGTTGAGAGTTGACTATCTAAATGATTGAGTTACAGCTTAATTTATTTATGCAAGGTGATGGAATTAGAAAAAAAAGGTAATCTTATTTACTCTGTTTACTTTTTTTCTCTTCTAGCTTTCACTTTTCTACACTTCAAGAAAAACGCACTCATTTGACAGTAGTTTGACTGGTGGTGCATTTTTTGTTGTTGTCTGAATCCATTGAACCTTGTTCATAAACTAATTCATTGTTTGTTTTGGAATTTTGGAATATTTCTTTTAGAATAATATATACGAGTCAATTGAAAAGGAAATCAATGATCTTTCATCTATTGCCTGTTTAGTGAACAATGTTGGCATGAGTTATTCACATTTTGACAGTTATACATGCGCAAAATTTATCAATTGCAATTTTATTCAAAATATGATAGCATGTAATGCGCAATCAGTAGCCATAATGACTTATCTAGTCTTACCAAAGTTACTGAAACAAGGCAGAAATGGTTCAGCTATTATTAATATCGGTTCATTTTTAGGCTGTTTACCATCACCTTACATTACATTGTACGGTGCAACAAAAGCGTTTGTTCATCATTTTTCAAGATCAATTATGGCTGAACTGAATCTTCCCCTTTATAATGAAGTGATCATTCAAACAGTCTATCCACTGTTCGTGGCGACAGCTATGTCAGGTGCCAAAAAACCGTCATTATTTATACCATCAGCTCGTAGCTATGCCAAAAGTGCATTAGATATGTTAGGTGTTGAAGAGTTTACAACGGGTTATTTTGCTCATGCAATACAAGGTTATTTAATCAGTTCACTGCCTTTATCATGGGTACATAACAAGTATAAAAAGATTGCTGATAAGGCACGTAGAAAATATCAATAGGAAAGGAGACGACTTCTATTTTGGATCGTATACCGGATTTATTCTGTTATCTAACAATATGATCTTTCTCGATATTTATGTATGTTTCATTTATTGTGATATTGTAATTAAAACAATAAATATTGATTTCTAATGATCAACTTTTGTCATACTTTGTGTAGTATAGCATTTTTGTTGTTAATGAGTACTTCACTTGACCTCTACTACTGACCTGTAGCTAGTCACTTTTGCACCTAGTTTTGTCAATTCTCGTTTGATATTGCAATGATTTGCTTTCTTTTTAAGGAATAGGGGCCTCTTAATTACCTTTCCTAAAACATTCTTGTCATAAAGACTGATTAGTTGTTCCGCTTATACGTTTGGTCGAATTTTTTAATGAACCTTTAGTAGTTTGTATTTAAGCCAATCATGTAGAGTTTAGACAAGAAATATCCGAAGTTGATCACATTGACCACCGTTACCTTCGTACTATACGGCGTGTGTCATAGTGTCACCATGTGAGTAACGTATAAGTTAGGTGTAGAGTTTTAAGGGAGGAGATGAAAGTCAGTTGATAAGGTCGTGAACCGTTTGGTTGAGGTGGCTAGGACATGTATTACGCATGCCTAGTCATCATCTGACCCGTCGCACAATGTTGGCTGAAATAGGTTCAGGCTGGAGAAAGGTTAGGAGCGACCAGACTAAAGCATGGCACCGTTGTATAACTTCTTCGACTGTTGGGGGATGCAGACTTCTCTGTTGAGTTCAGTATGATGACATAAACCAGTGGTTGGATACTCTGGGTGATGTGGCCTAGAATCGATATCATTGGCGCGCACGTATCCACACTTTATCTTCATCTTAACCGCTATACCAAATTCAGCATTTTCTCATTCCTACTTCCACACTTTTACTGTATTCTACTGCTTTCCAGCGATTTTTCTCTGTTTCATCTAACTACTTTGTTACTTGTGGAGATGCAAGGTGTGGCAACTCAGACCGTTATGAAGTAACGCCTAGTCCTATGTTGATATTGATTGGTTGATTTTGACCTCGTATCTGGATAACATTGTAGACAATTTTAAGTCACTTTATCTCGACGCATAACATGTTACTGATGTATGTGCAGAATAAATTAGATAAGGTTTGATTAGTGGTAAGAAAGTGTTGCTCGAGCATTCGTTAGGATTCTTTTCTTCTAGGAATGACAACCAGAAAGATAAACTAAGATCAGCAACGAAGTAGTAGTAGTGATATAAGGAGTTACTGGACATTATCTTCAAGAGTGCTACCATTTGAAGGCATTGGATAAAGACTTCTGGTGAACGAATTTATATAATTGTCAGGCTGTGGAGTTCTTTTAAAAAAAAATAACTATGTACTCTCAACCTCTGAACAACAAATGTTTGTCGAAGGAGTTTAAACTTACAACCATGAATAGTTAGTGGCTGGTTGCTTAAATAGCTATGCTAAAACTTACCAAGCGTCGTGGTTTAGTAATCAGTCAGTGGTTTCTTTTAACTACTACTTGTGGAATTTTACTATTTTTCATCCTTCGGTTATTTAATGTAGTTGTAATTCATTGTACTAGGAACTTTACTACTAATCAGTGAGTTACAGGGTTAGACTCCGCTTTATCTACAGAAGTTAATGTGACCAAGTAGTATCGTTAATCGTCACATTAAAAGTATAACTCATAGCCTAGTGATCCGACATGTATCTGGTTTCTTGCAAATAGAAGTGAAGTGGTACAACTTATACATACAGCTAAGCTTTTTTCACCTCCTGAAATCAATTTCTCCTCTTTTCAGTGGTCCTTTATTTTGTCTACATGAATCAATATCACACACACTCTACCACCAGTTGTATAATATATACATTGACTTAGTAACTATGTGACACTGTGAAATATGAATACAATTGTATAGCTTGTTGGTAAGGTTGTTGTGGGGAAATGCTTTGTAAAGTGAAGATCTGATACTGGTTTTCTTTACAGAAAAGAGCTATAAATTTTCAATAAAAGGCAAAGGAATAAAGATCAAATGCTAATTTATTTGTCATAAGTGATTGACACCAACTGGATAAATGTAACATAATGTGCGATATCGGAAATTGTTTTCATCCTAGCTTATTACTCTCCAGCATATGTAACCGCAATTGTGATCATAATCGCCCTCGGGATGACTAGGCTTCGCGAATTTTACTTTGCTGTTCAGCTGCTTGATTGAAGTACAATAGCCAATACTTTTCACCTACTACTGTGGATTCACAAACAAATTGGTAGTTAGTCTTCAGTTAACGCTAGTCTGCAGTTAAGAACTAGCTTGCAATCAGTCAGCTTGTCACAATTGCCTAAAGCTATAAGAGACCTAAAGTTCAGTTGAAAAGGAAGGCCAAAAGCTGCTAACCTATGCAAAATTTATTCACCCAGACGTCCAGTACATAATATGTATCATTGTGAACAACACCAGATAAAACAGGCCAGTGCTTATGTTCTCTTCATGCAATAATGATGCTGTAAAAAGCATTTTGCGAATTCTGAAATTATTTCGCTTTCTAACATATACTCATAGATTGTCTTCTACACGCTATACGAAAAACCAGCAGACATATACAAATGGTATGACTCACTAAACACCTAAATTGTTTTTGATTTCTTGACCGATTTCTTCATGTTTGCACTCATTATTGATCTCCAGACAACCACCAGTCAGCCCCACTCGACCGACAGCCGTAACTTTGACGTGTTGGTCAGGCTTGTATATAATAATGGGTTATACTAGCTGGAATGCTTGTTCTTTCAAGGTCCTACCATTCCAGAAAGGTTGGTCGGATAGATATTAGACGAAAAGCGGTTACTCTTACAGTGTAAGTTGTTACACTACGATGGGAGTCCAAGGGTGAAGTTGTACTACTTGCTGAATGGGGTGACAACAGTAAGATGTATCTCGTAGATGGTCAGCAGTGTTACACTGATGTTGCCTCACCGTTGGGAAGGGCAGGGTTGGAAAAGGCTGACCGTAAAAGTAGGACGTTCTTCTCCACCCCATTATCTTCCAGGACTGGCGGTATAGGGTCTTTCTATCTGACATTACAACAAGCAAATTACCAACCAGCAATTCTGAAAAGACTATGTGTGACAGGCCTCAAGCAGATGTCCCATGGGCTCTGCGGTCATACAAGTCTTTTACTTTTTCTCTCAGGTAGCTTAAGAAGTAGCCTTCTACGGTGCTGCCAGCCAGGAGGTGCCAGACGCCTGCACGCTCCCAATTGTACACAAAACCTGATTAAACGTAACCTATTCTCCTTTCTTGGCTCCACTTCCTGATACCAGTACCAAGCCTCTTGCAACTTCCTCGACCTTACGCTCTGTGACCATTACCAAGGATGAAAACTATCGAAACCTCCTTCAAAGTCTCCTAAGACCTCGCCATCGATTTCATGTTGGCTCTTACAACATCCGAATTATATGCCAAATCGAACAGCAAGTATCGCTCGCCAGAACTCAGGAATCTCGATCCATGGATGTATGTTGTGCCTCTGAGACAGGTATACAGGACTTAAGTATGGTTATTAAATTGACATCACCTGACCAGCGCTATGTATCTTCAAAATTCACCCTACGAATATTCGGAGACCCAATGGCAAGCTCTCGTGGACTGACTGGTGTGGAAATAGCATTATGCTACAGAGAGAAGAAAGTGTAATTCCCAACTGGCTACCAGTGAGGTACCACCTATCCGCTGTTCGACTCGATGGATCTGTAAAAACTAGGAAGGATCGTGAGACTAGCCAATATCTGTTTATAATCCCCACCTACACGCCCTTCGACTGTAGTTTGCATGATTCAGAGTTCTATAAAGGGCTGTCCATTCCCCTACAGAGCGAAAAATGTTTAGATATAGTCATGCTAGCAGGCAACTTCAGCGCCCAAGTAGGGGAACTGAGCCAGTCGGAAAGGCATCTTGGAGGTATATACGCAACCCCATGGCAAGGAACCGATAACTGTGGTCGTCTGATGAAATTTTGTCCCAACAGTCACTTGTTTCTGACCAGCACTGACTTTGAGCATTAGGAGAGAAATTACCTCACATGGCGTCCACCGACATCAAACCAACAATGGACACACAGATTATATTCTTACAAGACATAGTTGAAGAGGATTAGTGGGGAATCGCTACTCCTTCCGGTGTATATGTTTGGACTCCGAATACGTGTGTGACTTCACCCCACTGATCATAGAATCATCATCATTATCAACATAGGACCAGGCATTACTGCGTAACGGTCTGAGTTGCCACACCTCATATCAGCACATCAAGTAAAAAGGTAGTGAGGTGAAGGATGAAGATAAGTGAATGCAGTCAAAAGAAATATAAAGTACGAGAAGAAAGGAAAGAGGAGTGACAAAATAGTGAGATTCGGTATAGCCTCGTTAAGATGAGGATAATGTGTGTATACATCTGCGCCACTGACTTCGGTTCTGAGCCATATCACCTAAGGTCTGCAACCACTGGTTCCTCTTGTCCCGTGGACCCCAACCACCTAGTCTGCATCGTCCTACATGGCTTAAACCAACAGTCAGAGACTTCATACATTGGTGCCATGTTTTAGTCTGGCCACCTCGGGCCTTTTTCCAGCCTGAACCCACCTCAGCCAACATTGTGTGACGAGGCAATCGGTGACTAGGCATACGTAGTACGTGTCCCAACCATCTCAGTCGATGAAGGTTCACAACCTCGTCGATCAGTCCCGACCGATAGCTGCTACCTTGACGTGGTGGTCGGGCTTGCATATCACAATGACCCAACGAGCTATGCTGGTGGAACGCTTGTTCCCTCGAGGTCCTACCATACCAGAAAGGTCTGTTGGGTAGTGGTTAGACGAAAAGCAGTTACCGTCATAGTGTAAATTGCTACACTATGATGGGGGTCTGAGGGCGAAGTCGTACTGCTGCTAGCTGGATGGGGTGTGACAGCAGTAAGGTGTTTCCCTTGGATGACCAGCAGTGCCAAGCTGATGCTGCCTTCTCAGTGGAAGGGGGGGTTAGAAAAGGTCGGCCCCAAAAATAACACACTCCACCACGCCCCACGGTCTGCCGGGCCGGCGGTGTTGGTTCACTTGTCGTTTCCTTTCGCTCATCCGGCCCCAAAAATACA